AACTTGTTTCTTATGGGAGTTGCCATTCACTATACAGGGGGTTTGAGGAGAGGTAATTCCCCATTAGATGAGTCAAGTCAAATCGAAGCAGTCTGGAGAATGTGGAAGAGCATCAGTATCTCACATGTCTCTGGACCTTCAGCAGTAATGCACTGAGAAAAAAGCCCTTTAATTGCTCTGAGGGGCGATGCAGCACTAACAGGCTTCTATTGTGCTGTTTTATAATGGCTATAATGGTATACAATCAGCATGGCCATTATTCATGTGCAAACTTGACTCACTCACCCATTTTCCATCACAAATAAAGAGATTTTATTACAGCCTTTCATTTCATCTCTCCTAACATTCACTCGCTTTTCTCTCCCCGCTCCAATAACACTCCCCCGTTCACCGCCCACTACAATAACAGAGAGAAAGAGAGAGAGATCTGTGGAGAGAGAGAGAGCACTAAGGATAGTGAGTACGAGAAAGAAAGAAAGATACCCAGACCAAGAATAATTATCAGGAGAGAAGAGGAAATGAATCGTCAGAGAGAGGAAAAGGAAAAACAGTACAAGTACAAGAGAGAGTGAAAGGAGGAGAACAAAATGAGTGGGTGAGACAGAGAGAAAAAGAGAAATAAAGCGTAAGTGGGAAAGAGGGAGAGACAGAAAAAGAAAGTCACAGGGAAGACAGGCAGCGAAAGAGAGATACTGAGACGGAACAAATTTCATATACGTCTGCCATATCAGAAGCACCTGCAGAACAAGGACCACACGTAGAAGTGATTTCCAGACTACATGCTGAGACAGATCCATTCAGAACAGTGCCAGATGCGAGAGAACACCTCATAACGCTCGCACAAACCCACTCGCGCACAGACACACACTTCAGATGACTGCACTGTTCCAAAACCCACTGAGCATTTTAAAGAACACGAAGGTTTTTTTATGAGAAATATGCAACATAGTTATTCTGCCTTCTAAGATACCTCTTTTTAGACTAATTTCAAAGCAGTATTTCATGTAGCCTTCAACGGAAATGCAATCCCAGAAAATCACATACAAATTTACCCAATATTTATGTGCACTAGTGGTTATTTAAGCATAAGGTTTTTAAGATACACTATTTTAAAAGTCATGTAGTGTATTTCAGCTTTGAGAAACATGCTGTCATCAAACTCTCAAGCAATTAATTATTGCGTACTGTATGTCACAAGTCCCAAATCAGTCTCTTATAAGGTTCTATGATAGTTAATAACTTATATTAGTAGAGCTTCCTGTCACCTACTAAAATTAGGCAACTGACACCAAAGCTACATAAGTTGACAATGAGCTCAGCTTTGTCTGTCCCTTTCTTACTCACACACATACATTCAGCCTTCAGTCTGAGGCTGTGGCTATTACAGTGAAAAATATTTCACCTTGACATGATGTGTCAGTTACATTCAATCCTTTTAACGTAACGGCACAAGTCATCAGTCACTTACCTAACTTCAGCCTCGCTCTGATTTTGAGACTTTGGCTTTATATAAAATGTTACTAGTCTGTAATTCATCTGAAGTAAAAGCCAGTTCTCCAGTAACACTATGTAGGCTGTAATGGCAGTTACATCTGCTTTGATCATCAATCAAGCAACACTTGATTTTTAGCTCAAGAGCCGACTGCAAGGATGTGTTTTCTCGCCTCCCATGAGATCAAAACTTATGCAGAGCAAAATGGAGCTTTGTCATGCATAAATAGAGTGTACCGTATATTCCTCCAAAATTTATAAATCTGTATTAGTAAAACTAAACACATATACACTCACACCACATCACTTAAACTACACCGCTTTCAGTATTAAACAAACGGTTTGGGTTTTGTATGCTCTATCGCCAACATGCTTCTGATTTCCACAAACAATTTTGACTCATCTCTCAGTTCTTTACAGTCTTTAAAACATTTACAATGGAAGTTTAGAGAGTGTGGAGGGTTTAAAAGCAGAAATGTGTAGCTCAAATTTTGGTTAAACCAATTATATTATTTATTCTGTACAAAAGTGTTTGGCATTTGAACTGTAATGCTGTCTAAACCATCATTTCTGCACCGTAATACTGTTTTAGAAGGGTGAACTTCTGGTTATGTTACAGACGTAATTTTTCTCAATGTAAACAGTCAGTGTGAAAATTACATGGTTTATTGGCCTTACGTGGTCATAACAGGAGTTGAAATATCAGACATAACTGCACAGACAAGGATGTGAATGATTCTTTCACAATGGTCTCATGGTGACATATAAATGTTCATACTTCTGGAACAGTGTGTATTTTAAAGGGATAGTTCACCCAAAAATGAAAATTCTGTCATTAATTACTCACCCTCATGTCGTTCCAAACCCGTTCATCTTCGGAACACAAATTAAGATATTTTTGATGAAATCCGAGAGCTTTCTGACCCTGCATAGACAGCAGCGGAACTGACACGTTCAAGGCCCATGAGAGGTATAAAGGACATCGATAAAATAGTCCATGTGACATCAGTGGTTCAAACTTAATTTTATGAAGCTATGAGAATACTTTTTTGTGCACAAAGAAAACAAAAACAACAACTTTATTCAACAATTTCTTCTCTTCCCTGTCAGTCTTCGACGCGCATTCACGACAGTACCATGCATGCATGTGGTGCTGCTGACGCAGGAGCCGGCGTTTTGACATAGAATCCCGATGCACCTTGTTTGCAAGCAAAGGAATGCACACGAATGCTTAGTGGTACTCTCGTGAACACGTGGAAGAGAGGAAATCGTTGAATAAAGTTGTTATTTTTGTTTTCTTTGTTCACAAAAAGTATTCTCATAGCTTTATAATATTAAGTTTGAACCACTGATATCACATGTACTATTTTATCAATGTCTGTAATACTGGGCCTGGCACGTGGTTGTACCATTGCTGTCTATGCAGGGTCAGAAAGCTCTCAGATTTCATCAAAAATATATTGTGTTCCGAAGACTAACAAAGGTCTTACGGGTTTGGAATGACTTGAGGGTGAGTATTAACGACAGAATTTTCATTTTTGGGTGAACTATCCCTTTAACATTTATTCTAGATGCATTGACTTCCATTATAAGAGCCATACCATAAATACGGAGCCCTGCATATGATATTGTGGCAATAAATTAAGATTTTGTTCCGACAACTTATTAATTTGTTGCCTCATTTTAGTTCAATAGTGGGCAACAGCTAAACAAAATTAAAATGATGGAACAAATAAGTATAATGTGGCCACACCTGAACTAAAATGAGTAAACAAATTAGCAAAACATGGCCATGATTGAATTATGAATTAATGTTGCCAAAAATGAGTCATGGGAACAAATTCTTAATTCATGGTCACAATATCCATTTTTTCATCCACTTGTTATGTGTGGGGCACTGTACGTAATTTTTTTTGCTTGTTTTTCAAAGTGAGGGATGATTCAAAATGTTCTTCTGGGAGCTTGTTTTGGATCCAGAACATTCGTTTAATAAAAGTTTCCAGACATTTCTTAAATCACACAAATATTACTGATCTCTTCCCCATTTAAGAAATCTGCCAGACAGCTGTCCAAAATTCTTTCTGAGCCTACAGACATCTGATCCTCTCAGCACTTCTCTGACAGCAGCAGCATTACTAACTTTGAATGTCTACTGCACATGTGTATGTTCACTAAGATAGACAACTATTTAAAACATTCATGCTCATGCCAGATACACAGGTGCATCGTTACTGTCCTCTGTTCCAAAAGGGTGACAAATGCCATACCAATTCGCCACAGATCATTGTTTTGAGAGCTGATTTTCAGCTTAGCTTGTGTAACATGATAAAGCCTTACACCCTCTAAATAACAGAATTTCCTGTGATCAGACACTTTGTGCCCATTCAAACTGTGACAACTTATGAATGCAGCTCCCGAAAAACATTTATTTATATCTCTGATGATTAACTTGCTTGAGTATTGTTGGTGTTTGTGGCAAAAATCACGCATTCGCATCGCACATCTAAATTTGGTCACTCCAAATGACTCACACTTTTCACAGATCGGAAAATTTCTGTCATCATCTATCCACCCTCACCTCGCTTAAAACCTATGACTTTTTCCAGTAGAACACATAAGCAGTTACTATAATAAAGGTCAAAGCTGCTATTTTCCATAAAATGAAAATGCAACTGATCATTGGCGGTGAAAGTCAGTTGCAAATTTGCTTGGTTTACAAAAAACAAAACAAAACAAAAAAAACACTAAACAGAAATTATGACACTATATTATTTTGAGGTGTGGTCACATTGGGGGGGGGGATGTCTATTGGCAATGGGGTAGCGATATTTGAAGCACCACTCAAGAAACTAGAGCTGTGCGATTTGGGGGAAAATATCAAATTGCGATTTTTGGGAGAACGGAGGTGCGCTCACTCTTGCCCAGGGCAAGCAAGACTGCAACTCAAGGCTGGCAGTCATGCATATGCTCTGGAACAGAGTAATATCGCTTCCACATCGCAGGCTTTGCAATTAGCAAATCGCAACGTCTCAAATCGCGATTTCGATTCGATTTCGATTAATCGCACAGCCCTACAAGAAACCATGGAAAATCCATGAATTCAAAGAAATTACTTTTACATTATACACGCAAGTTGTGGTTGCAAGAACTTTCAATGGATGGACAATGTGTAATGGATAGACAAAAATGTAACAACATGAACGTGAGTAAATGATGAAAGAATTTCATTTTTGGGTGAACTATCCCTTTAAGTCATTTTTTTGGGTCAAACATCTGCTCTTGTTTTTTTGAATGTCATCATGGTTGATCGTAAACTTGTGTACTGCTTTACATTACAGGCTGCACTACATAGTGTATGGCTGTATCGAAGTTTTACAACTGTTATTATAGGAACATAATATGGGAAGCACAGACATACTCTCATTCTCATTCACACACAGAGCAGGACCAGTAGGATGTGTCCTCGTGCACAACTATTCACCCCAGTCCCCAGTGCACAAAGTCCTCACCTTAGTGTAGACACCCCAGGACAGCTCGGTCTCTATCACCATGACAACAATGCCAAACATGCCGAATATGAGCGCATAGTCACTAAGTCTCTTCCTCTTTTCGAACAGCGCCCTCCTGTGGCCTAGTTTGTAGCCAATGTTCTGATTCTTACGTTTAGGGGCTTTGGAAGCGGTCCTCCCCGGGCCTCCCACGACAGCACCGCCCCTCCTTCCATTAGTCCCACCCCCTGCCACGCCACCCAGCACACCCCTGCTCTCAGAGAGGGCATGGTTCTGGTGGTAGATGGACATTTGATTGGCCGAGGCCTCGAGTTCGTAAGCGTGTCCGTAAGGTGGATCCTCTTTTGAGGAGATAACGATCTCTGGGGGGTTCTGGGATTGGGACTGACTGTGTTGAGAGGAGGCCGTGGTTGCCTGGCTCGCACTCGCCCCGCCCTCTTTGGTGTCACTTCCGCTGTCGGACTCAATGAGGTTACGGCGGGAGGCACTGAGGCGGCTGAGCGGCTTCATCACGCCGCCGCTGTACTTGCACGAGCTCATGGCGATCTCGGTAAAGGGGTTACTGTCCCGCCTGTGCACCAGCGGACTGGCCTGCCTGTGCTTACATCCCCTCTCTCGCTCTCGCTCAGTGGAAGGCGAATGAGAGGAGTAGAACAGCGCATTGTAGACAGGCGAAGTCTCCCCACTCAGACTATGTTGGCTGCCCAGGCAGGAGGAGAGCGGGGTGCTGGTGGGGTGGAGCGCGTTGGGGATTGGTGTGGACAGCTGGGGTGTCGTGGACAGGGGCAACTTGGGCAGCGATGCCGGGGGAAGGTTCGGCGTGGTGGGTGACGGAGTGCCATTGAGACGCTCCAGGCTGCTGTTGCCTCCCGTGTGATTCGAGTGGTTGGTCCCAGGGTAGTTGCCAGAAAGGGAAGCATGGGAGAGACCACCGAGAGGGAGGGGCAGATGTTGCTCTTCGTCTTCGCTCCCACTGAGAAGGGCCAGACTCAGAGAGGGAGGGGGATCCATGGCAACCAGGCTCCAGCAGATTTGTTTGTGCTCTGCTCCTCAACTCTGGAGTTTAGTTGGGGGGAGAGAAAGGAAGAGAGAGAGAAGAATGGATTAGGTTATGTTATTTATAACCGAATAAAATTAGCAGGTGAAAAGGAGGCTGGATTAAAAAGGGGAACCCCCTCATATTAATAAACCAAGGATGGACTGAAGGTGTTGGGTGACACTGAGTTGTTCCAATGTGCATGAGGAGTTTACGTGGAAGATGTATGTGAGTGGAAAAAGACTGATGAAACTGATGAACCTATGAACCCATCCACATCTAATCGCTCTGAGCTCTCTCTCGCTATCTTCCACCCTCTCTCTGACACCCCCTCCACTCCTCTCGCTCCTTCCAGCAATATGTCACATAAATGCAAGCAAGAGTCTCAGTAGTTTTTAAGAAACTTATGCATGGGTCGAATCGTGGCCTCTGGACTGACCTAATCTAAAATAAATACACACTAGAAAGCATAATTTTAATCATTTAGTACATTTATAATCATGTAGAAATAGTTACACTTGAGATATAAATGACAGTTTGATTTTGATTCCATTAAACATTTTTCTCTGTTGCTTACCTCTCTCCAGTCAGTCTTTCTCCACCTTCATATGGTGATTTCAGAAGCAGTGCAACAATATTCCTCCGCACTTTTTCTTTTTCATGTTGTCAAAATCATGCCATCATTTCTTCCTCGATCCGTTGCCAAGCAGTGATTCCAGATTGAAGGTTTTTAATGACAGAAGTATAAACCGCTATTTCTTAAAATGAGACTCCTACAGACGAAAGCTGTTGTGTTTAACACCTTAACAATGATCGAAATAAAAGCGGAAAATAATTTTCGGGAAAAGGATTTAGTGCGCTCTTTAATATTTCAGGAAATACATCCACCCGTTGCATTAAGTAGCATTATTAGCCTCCTGTGAAGAAAAGCGCTTTAAAGTAGCATCTGGATATGAGTACAGGTGAAAGTAGCGATAGTCTGAATTTGTGTAGAAATGGATGCATGTCCTCCAGCTCTCACTCTGACAGCACGTCTCTCATTCTCTCTCTCTCTCCCTCTCAACTTGTCTTTTGGGCTCCGTCTCTCCGCCCAGGTCCCTCCTCTCTGCTCCTCTCATTGGACACACATCGCTGAACCAAACAAATAAGCTCTGAAAAAACTAGAGAAGAACATTTAATTAAGAAGAAGCACCTGCCTCCTCTACGGCTATTCCTGCTTTCCTAGCACAAATATTTTTAATAAACCCTAACAACAAAAACAATCGTAATAAATAATAATAATAATAATAATAATAATGATGATGATGGATGATGATGATCTTTCTTCTTTTATTTATTTATTGAGCACTTTCACACAACCGACCATTGACCAAAGTGCTGTACAATATGTAAACACATAATAAAACAGTCTCAAACATTCTCTCTCTCTCTCCCTCTCAACTTGTCTTTTGGGCTCCGTCTCTCCGCCCAGGTCCCTCCTCTCTGCTCCTCTCATTGGACACACATCGCTGAACCAAACAAATAAGCTCTGAAAAAACTAGAGAAGAACATTTAATTAAGAAGAAGCACCTGCCTCCTCTACGGCTATTCCTGCTTTCCTAGCACAAATATTTTTAATAAACCCTAACAACAAAAACAATCGTAATAAATAATAATAATAATAATAATAATAATGATGATGATGGATGATGATGATCTTTCTTCTTTTATTTATTTATTGAGCACTTTCACACAACCGACCATTGACCAAAGTGCTGTACAATATGTAAACACATAATAAAACAGTCTCAAACATAAAACACAACACTAAAACCACAATACAATGACAGTGAAATAAACTCCACAATTTCAATATACAGATAAATGTCTATACCCCATTAAGTGCTAATGCAAGGAAATATTCATTAAGCTTGTGTTTAAAAACACTTAATGTGGGAGCTGATCTGAGAGAAAACGATGATTCATTCCAGAGTTTCGGAGCTATCGCTACAAAAGATCTCTACTTCTCCGTTTAGTTCTAGGAATCATCAAAGCCAGCTGGTCAGCTGACCTTATAGAGACCGTTTTGGCTCATATTTCTCAATCAGTTCCACCAAGTACAATGGAACCCTACTGTGCAATGATTTATAGACAAAAACCAAAATTTTAAAATTAATTCTATAAGGAATCGGTAATGTAAAGAACTCAGAACAGGAGTAATATGATCTCTCTTACGAGAACCTGTCAAAAGCCTCGCTGCAGCATTTTGGACCAGTTGTAAGCGGTTAAGCAATGATTTATTAATGCCAACATATAATGAGTTGCAGTAATCTAACCTTGTGAATACAAAGGCATGAATGACTTTTTCCAAATCACGCATGGACAAAAATGGTTTCACCTTGGCTATTAATCTCAAGTGATAAAAACAGGACCTAACCACAGAATAAATCTGTTTTTCAAACTTGAGATCACTATCAAAAAGAACTCCTAAATTTCGCACTACTGACTTACAAAAAGGGGCTAAACTGCCCAAATCAGATAAATTATTTGGAGCTCCAAACCACAAAACTTCAGTTTTGTCTTCATTCAGATTTAAAAAATGTAAGGACAGCCATAGCTTAATTTCTTGTAAACAGTCCAGCAAAGATTCTATTTGCTTTTTACTATTCTTTTGCAGATGAAGATACACTTGCATGTCATCTGCATAGAAGTGAAATGAGATTCCATGCTTATGAAAAATTGATCCAAGGGGTAACATATACAAAGAAAACAAATTTGGTCCGAGAATGGACCCCTGTGGAACCTCACAAAGTAAAGAAACAGGTTGTGAATAATCTTGACCAACATTAACAGAAAAAGATCTGTTTCAAAGAAAGGACTTAAATCATGTAAGCGCTATACCATGGATTCCCACCACCTTCTCAAGCCGTGAGAGTAAAGTCTCATGGTCAATATCGAATGCAGCGCTAAGATCTAATAAAACAAGAACTGCTGAGGACCCTGAGTCAACTGCAGTCAATAAATCGTTTAAAACCCTGATCAAAGCCGACTCAGTAGGTAAGCCCTAAAGCCTGACTGAAAAAATTCTAAAAAATGTCATTTTGAAGCAAAAAAGTATGTAACTGATTAAAAGCCACCTTCTCTAAAACCTTCGATAGAAAAGGTAACTTTGAGATTGGCCGATAATTTGATACAACAGCAGGATCCAAATGTGTTTTTTTCAAAAGTGGCTGAACAACAGCATGTTTAATAGGGACTACTCCTGTTAAAAGGCTATTATTTATTATAGATAAAATACTGGGGCCAAGAACATCAAATGCCTGTTTCACTAACCTAGCTGGAATGATATCAAGTGCACAATCAGTTGGTTTCAGCTGGCTGATTACGTTAGCTAATGATTGCAGAGAAATAAGTTCAAAATGGTCAAAACCAACAGATGGTAGGCGAACAACTGAAGGTCTAATATCGGAAATCTTTTGAACAAAATAATCCAAAAAGGCCCCACAAGTAATAATTGGAGGGTCAGAAAACAAATCAGATTTTGGATTAAGTGCAGAATTTATTATATTAAACAGAACTTGTGGCATCATCATGATGATGATGACGATAATGATTGATTATGATGATGATGATTATTATTATAGTTGTTAATAATAACGATGATGATGATGATATTAATTAAAAGTATTATTATTTATAATTAAATGTTGATAAAGAATAATACATGATTAAATAAAAGGGGCAATTGAAATAAATAAATAAATGTGACTATGCACTCATGTAATAATGACACTTGTAGCCATATAATACACCAAGTCACAACTAGGTTACAATAACTGTTGGAGCTTTAAGTTGTCTTAGTTAATCTGTCATTTCTACTCTATTTTATTTTTATTTTAGTTATTAATTTTAGAAAGAGAGTTTCAGCTTGTTTTCTTCATCAGTCATTAAAGTTGTCATAAAAAAATTAATAAAAAAAAAAAAAGAACTTTTCACTATAGGTTGTGACTTGGCATCCCTTTAATTTGACAAAAAGTTAGCAAAGACAGCAATTAAACTTAAGATATCAATTTTAGTGTGTTGCCAGCTTTATGGAGTAGTCTGCACGGTTGTTTCTGGTCAACAAATCATGATATATCTTGTCAATATCTCATCAGCATTGGTGTATAAACCCAAAGCTGCCACAACAGGTCAAACCCCACCAACAGGTGGCCAAGAGCGCAGCCGCTAGCCAACTTCCCACGAAACTAGACCTAACTGCCCCTTTGTCAGAAAAAAAACACCTGTCACCGGGATATACAATGCTGCCGATGCCGGTCTAACAGACATCCCTTAAGCTGACAAGTTTGTGTTTGTTAAAGGGAGAGGTTACCCAAAAATGTAATTCCAAACCTGTATGACTTTGTTTCTTTTGTGGAACACGAAATAAAATAATATGAAAAAAAGTCACAGTGGTTTTTTGTCCAAAAATCTGAAGTCAATGGTAATTAAAACTTTTATTACTTTTGATTATTTCACTTGACAGGTACGAATAAATTAAATGCATATCTCACCTGGAGAGACGATTTCCCTGGATTTAGTGACTATTACAGAACAAGCCATATGTTGCCCCGGTGACATCACTGGCAACAAGCGCAGTCATCATCTCTTGCGGTTGCCATGGTGATGATGCAGGGTCACACTATTCCTGTATATGTGTCCAGTATCATATAATCTAGGGGCATGACACAGGCTTAAATTTCCCTAGTGTCCAAAACCTTGCGACAATAAAAAAAAATGACACAGAGGATGAGGAAAGTGAAAAGAACAAAGACTTGATAAGAGGGATTCAAAGAAAAATAAAACAAACAGGGGATGACAATGAAAGGAGAGTTACCCACTGGAAAGGTCAAAGGTGACCGGGCGAGGACAGTGACATAATGGGACACAGCTGTCCAACTCGAACTGGGGAAGATGACAGACATGACAGCTAAGAGCACAGCTCAGACACGAAAAAGAAAGGGAGAAATCCGTCATGCCGCTTTAAGTCTGGCCGACAGGGAAGATTATGGATATGCAGAGATGGGGAGATAGTGACACCAAACAAGTGCATTTGTTCCTTTTGTGAAGAGAAAAGGTCAGCTCATTTCTAAAGGACATCTATGAAGTGGTGTATTACAGCGAGAAAGTTTGAGAGAGAATGATAAATGCTGGAAAAACACTGATCTGATAAATATATATATATATATATTTATGACCGAACAACAGAATGAGCACAGGCAGAGTGGTTACCATGCCAACACCAGAGTACACAGAGTTGTCTTCTCTTTTTTCTCCTGTTGGATGAAACCATTCTGTCTAAATGCCAAACAATCCGCATCGGCACAGGAGGAGGAGCTCTTCGTCTTGCCTTGATCCCGTTTTTATTTTAAATTGCACTTCTCGCTAATAGACATGCAGGCCCAGCACGTTTGATTCACGAGTACGCGGAGGGATGACCACATCCACGCATCTAAACAGGCCGTAAAATTCCCATCATCTCCACCTCGACTGAAACACACTCACACACCCATGGATGCTAATCAATAGCAGAACGGCATCGCTCAGTGGGCAGCAGGGCGAAAACAAACCCACCTTATTTACTGCTCATGTGAACTCAGCAATACTACACTTGAGCTATGCATCATCCACCGGTCCGTTGAAAACACACCGTGTTCTGGAAGTCAGTGGGTGGCGTTGGTGACCCCTATGATTCAGTGGA